GCACACTCGGGAGTTAGTGTGCGAGGCTCTAGTAACGTAATAGAAATATAATCACACAAAAAAAATGCAATCAGCTTGGACGTAATAGGTGAAAAAAGTACAGAGCTTCAAGCAGCTTTTTTTGACGATTACATTTTGGCATAGACCAACAAAGAGCCGAGACGACCAAGACGCGCAGCCCTAGCTAGAGATTTTTTAGTGTTGCAACTCGCACCAGTTACGAAAATCTGGACGAACGCGCATTTAGAATGTTCCAGGCAAAAATGTGGATGGAAATCAGGCTGGAAAGCATCACAAGTTGTCACAGGCACTTATTTAGCCCGTCTGCTTGTGAACGTTGATTTCGTCTCTATTCTTGCCGTGGACTAGCACCGTGATCACAAAGTCACTGAACCCTTGTGCTTGATTGAGAGAGACTGCATTCGGTGCAGAACGTAGTTTTCTTCCTGCTCTGAATAGTGACAATAAATTTGAGGGATGTATTTTCGCCCACAAAATTGTATTTAATTACAATTGTATTTGAAATACCCACGTTTTAGTATTTAAATACACACGACAAATACAATACCCAATTTGTAATAAAATGCAAATGCAAAATACACAAAGTATTTGAAATACTTATTTCAAATACTTGTATTTGAAATACTGCCCATCCCTGCCCACAACCTAACCACCGATCACCGACGTCACAAGGTCAACCTCATAAGAAAGACAGTTCGTATTAAATCCATGGGTCATTGTATCAGCCATGCTTCGATGCAACTCGGAAGTAGTTCCAAGAAGTTTCTTAAAATGTAAAGTTTATTTTTTTGTTTGTAATAGTTGTAAGTGAACGTGCAATGAGTCATATTGCGGGTTCATAGCAGTTCTCGTTTAGATAAAGCACAGCCTTTCCAGACACCGGCTGGAAAGGAAGGGGATCCGTGTGCTTCTTTTGTTCAAAGTCCTAAGCCTTCAGTTCGGGATTGAGGTCACCGTTTACGGTTGAGGTAAAGACCAGTGTGTGTACGACTGTATAGGTAACAAAGGTTGACCCTGTGACGTCGGTGGTTGGTGGTCAGGTTCTATATATATAAGACATTGAGGAAATAAACGCAGTAACTGAGCTTGAGACATTCTTTCCCCTGTCTTTCTTCTTCGACCAAGTTTCCCTTTTTTTACCACAGTCTCGGCTTTTCTACATCATGATTTAATATGTATGCCGTTGATATGTGTGAAATAATACAATCACGTAATATAAAATACCTAAGTATGTATACAAAATTTACACACTGACAATTAAAATGCAATGCTGGCACCGGACATTTCATCGACCTCCAATTCATCGAATAAGTGGACATCTCTTCGAAAACCGGTTGAACGTCGTCTCAACAAATAGCTCGACTGCGTTTCATTATATTACACTTGTTTCTCAAATTTCTATGACTGTGGTCGAATCTCTAAAATTAAAATGACTACCTTGGTTGCTCCTTCACCAGTAGCTGAGTGGATATGCGACTTCCTGTTTTCTGATAAGATTTGCCGTTGTTCTACTCTGCACTCCTTGTTCTCTCTTCATCACCACATTTGTTCACGTTTGAAAGGTAGTTCAAAAACATAGGGTACCGAGTTTTCCCCCTGCGCTGTTTCAGTTTGTATTAGTACATTTCCTTTTGCTTCCATTCAATTCAAGAACCCGGTACGTTCACGATTCTGCCGATTACAAAACAGGAACAAAAAGGAGATATACTTTATTTTATGTGACATAAAGAAAGTTCTTTGCTTTTTGGACGGCTCTGCCCTCGTAGCAAGATATCTCTTTTTTGACGACGAGGATACATCCTTGAAGTTGCATATGTTCGCCATTGCCCCCGATGATGACGGTTTTCAAGACAGGCGACTATGTGCTTCCATCATTTATTGGCCACATTAACAGCAGAAGTCGTCAATGACTATGAAATGAATATCAAAACTAAAAAAGTCACGAAATAAATGTTCCTATTATCATAGCCACTGACAAGTTAGGGAAAACAGGAGAGGCTTCAGTTCACCACCTCCAGCGGGACCTTCCTAGCTGCGACAGCGCTTCGGCATCTGGTGCCCATCTAGCGCGCGCAGCCAAAGCACGACGGAAAGTGTGGAGCGCGTGCAGGAGTTAGGGCGTACGAAACACACGGCCTGCCGTTCTCACTCTGGGAAAGAAGTTTATAAATTATAATCCTTATTACAACACTGCAATCCTCTCGGTGGTAAGAAATAACTATTTCCAATATTCGGAATTCCAACTGCACAACTCGGCGGCACTCGATGAAAGTGCTTCGATGAAATGGCGCTGACAAAAAGGCGTTCGATGAAATGGCGTTCCATGATAAAAAGGCGTTCAATTATACGTATCTCCAGTATACTTTGACAAGTATGTTCCTAAAGTTTTGCTGATCCAATTCTTTCTGTGTCACTTAAATTTGTTTGTTGTTCTTGTGCAGCAGGTGAAAACAGCTCACATGCACACCTTTCTCCCACTCGTGGCGCCATTAATTACACGATCTATTTATCCAGCTTTTACTCGTCATATACATACTCAGAAATTAACTTGTTTATATGTTTTGTTTTTTCGGTTATGCCTGTTGTTGAACATCAGCAATTTTCGAGAATCTACCAAAGGAATACCGACTACTCGTGGTTCACTGTGGGGGTTATTTTCAGGTTTACTCGCATTCTATTACGTGATCTTCATAGCACACGAGTGTGTCTAGAAACATCCGCAAGTACCAATCAATCCAGGAGATTACCGCACTTAACATAATTAATTTCTCACCCATTGAAATAATTTGTCTCCTCCGTCCTCCGCTGCGTCCATTGTTCTCACGTCGAAAAACACATTTCTTTGTTTATGAACCCTAAAATATTTTGCGCAGGAGAACAGCGTCGCACCATTATCACGAAGCTATGTACCAGCGAGTTCATTTCTTTCCTTATATTTTTTAAATCTCCACCACTCTTAAATGTGAGTTACATTTCAAAAGCTAATATATATATATATATATATTTATACCACTAGTGCTTGCGTTAGCGGGCGAAGATATGTGTTCTTAGTCCGAGCGTTGCTGCTGTAACGAAGTACGTTCACGAAGAATAAAATCTTTCACCACAGTTTTAAGACAAAAAAAATTCCCGAGGTTTTTGGACCATCTCGGTCCATTGTTTACGGGTGACCGTCAGGTGTACAGAAAAAGGGCTGCTGATGTCGGCTGGCTGAGTCCTGGTTTTTTGATGATGTGGCAGAGTCCTAAGACGTACACGGCTCGGAGTGTTTCCGAAGACCTGTTAATGGTTTCTTTTGTTGTCTGGATGGAGCAGGATTCCAGGTGCAGACGTTTCCGCCAGTGCCACCCTATGCAGGGGATTTCGATTTTGTCGAAAGACTCGCAGTGACCTGATTTTGCTTCGTGTTCGGGGAGGGCACTTACCTTGAACGTAGATTTTTTCACATAGTATTTCTGGCGGTTCCGGGAAATATCTAGTTTCCTCCATGTAGGAAATCAGGCCAGTCCCCGTACGGGATGCTGTTTACGAGGGCTTGAGACATCCCCTTTACTTGTCTCTTCTTTGGGGAGATGGAGTCGGTGACGGATGGTGAGAACCGGCTCGTGAGTCACCGCGATGCTATGTTTACAAAGGACACATCCGATGGTCTCCCTGACGTACCGCACGTACGACAGGCAGACACGGCTGGAATGAGCCGGGAGCTTGCACATATGGGGCGGCGTAGCTTCTTGTTGATCCTGTGGATCAAACGTTCTGAGTAGCCGTTTTTTTTTTCTAGAGCTATAGTGTTATGGACAGTTCTTCAAGTCTAGGACTAGACAAAACACGGCGCTGGCTGGTTCGTGCTAACAGCGTCATGGATTGTAAGTCTAGCGGCGTAGCTTCTTGTTGATCCTGTGGATCAAACGTTCTGAGTAGCCGTTTTTTTTTTCTAGAGCTATAGTGTTATGGACAGTTCTTCAAGTCTAGGACTAGACAAAACACGGCGCTGGCTGGTTCGTGCTAACAGCGTCATGGATTGTAAGTCTAGCCGCAAAAACGAAGCGGGAAAGATGTATCTTTCAGTGCATTGTACATCAAAGTTAGTGAGGACTGCTAATAATGTTTGTATAAATATCGATGAGTAATCGGCTTGTTCAGTTCACAGGTTGTTTAAATACACTTCCCGGCACCGTTCTTTCTCTAGCGCCTAGTTCAAATTCGAGAATGCCCTACGTATTTTGCTAGAAGAGAAAACTGCTAAAGAATGCATGTGTGCGCGCTTAGAAGGAAGTACGTGTTTGAACACCGATCTATCACCCGGATCTTATGTGTGCCTTTTTTAAGAGCTCCTACGTGCAATAGACAGCATATGTTATGTAAGTTACCATTTTGTATTTTTCACTATTTATGAGTTTTTTTAAAGAACTGCGGCCATGTATAATAAATAATTAAATAATGCCTAATAATTTTGCAGTATTGTTGTGTATTATTCGTCATTAATAATCTATTTTAGATATTTCTGCTTCAACGAAGTAAATGAAACTCGCTCGATAGGTATATTTTGCCGTTTTTTTTTTAATTCTTGAACTCACTAGTAGTTAAAAAAGTCCACTTTAAGCTAGCAGAGTAAGTGGTGTTTCAGTGCCTCTGGAACGCCAATCGCAGAGCAAACGTCAACGTAACACCCTCATGAATGATTGAAAACGAGCGTCTTGGTGGAAAGTTACGAATACTTGAAAGGATAAAACATTTAGGACCGGGATGGAAACAGGATTCTAAAAGAAGTCCTGTTTTCGTCCCCGTCCTAGATGTGTTATCCTTTCAAGTATTGGTACCCCTATGATTATCGCTAAAATGTTACCACCCTCGAAGAAAAACACTTAAATTTATTTTGGTCAATCATAACGTAGTTTTTTTTTAGAAATTGCGTTATTTGAGACGCTTTGTGAAGCAAAACTAAACACAAGATACATTTGCCTTATCTTGCTTTCCAGAGTGGTGTAATCAGCGACACTCTGAGGATAGTTCCTCTTCACCTTATGGCTCGATCTGAAGACGGGTCTATCGCACACAAGATTTTCAAAGTGAATGCACCAGCTCACCGTGGACATGACTACGCTGGTAATGGGCCGAATCAATATATTTATGTATCTTAATGTCCGTGTGTATAACTTTAAGACATGCACTGCAGATATGTTGGGTTACATATGTTAAAATGTGTTTAACCTGCTTTTTTTGCAACTTGACAATTTATCGGTTAGGTCACTCTCAAGGGATAAAAATAATTAAACACACACTGAATTATGCCTCAAAAAAATAAAATCACCATATCTGCACTAATTTGTTGCTTTAAGTACTCGGGGTAGTGAAAAGACTTACAACGTACTTACCTCACGTCGGGCTTTGACTGAAACAATCGACGACAGATCGTCGCCAAAAGCGTCCTATGATTTCTAGCTGTAACTGGACTTCTGAAACACTCCATGCGATGTCCCGTAACAGGGATTGTTGTTGAATCCCGTAACAGGATTATTGTTGAGGTGATCGCAACCATTTTGAGCAAGTTCTGGATGTCCCGTAACAGGGATGAACCATAAGGGGACGCCACCGAACTATCTTTCTCTGAGTTGTTGAGCAACTATCTTTTCACCATTCGCGTGTCTACGACTCACATACACAGTACACTGGGATTCTGTGGGAGTCTAGTCATGCTTACTACACGTCTGTTAAGACTCGCGTATGTCGTTAAGGACAGAAACTCTAGTACGTTGGCATGAAGCTGATAGTTAAGTTAAAACAACGACTGTTCTTTTAGGTACGCAGCGAAAACAATTTAGATATGTAGTTTAGTAAATATTTATCACCGCACCAAAAAGTGCATGATAAGGTCTCGTTCACGCATTTGCGTTATGCAACAGAGATTGTTTAGGAAGTTAACACAGACTCAACAAAACTGGCTAAAAAACAGAGTAATACTGCTTAAAAATATTGTTCGCACTGCTAAGCGCTCCATTTAAAACAATTCTAGCCTCCAGTATAATAGAGTAGATCGACCCACTAAAATTAATATATATTTGACGTACTAAGCACCAGATAAATGAGGCAGCAAATGTCCCTTCATGGACATTTTATTTTTTTTAAGAATCATCAAGATTTACAAAATACATGGTGTCACAAAAAAAAATTTACACGGTCCATCTTACCGCAAAAATAAACTAGGCATCGCCGAACGCTCATTCTCCGCCTGAAGGTAGCGCTAGAGGTCGCAACCAGATGCCAAGGTTTCAGCCCGGTCCGATAATTTAATCAAAAGTTATAACTGATTTTCTGAAAATTTCAGAAAATTTCAACACATGGGGCTCTATGGCAACAAAAACCGAAAACGGCAAAAATGGGCTCCATGTTCCCATTGAAATTTTCAGAAAATAACTTATAACTTTTGAGTAAGTTATCGGATCGGGCTAAAACTTTGGCGTCTGGTTGTGACCTCTAGCGCTACCTTTGGGCGGAGAATGAGCGTTCGGCGATGCCTAGTTTATTTTTGCGGTAAAAAAAGACCGTGTAAGTTTTCTTCTGTGACCCCCTTTTGAGACGTCGCCTCCTTGTGGCCTCTTTTCTTCTCGTCCCTTTTCCGAAATACCCCAGTCTCGGGTTAAACAAAACTATGGTTAACTTCCACCAGCTCGCCTGCACCCTTACAATTTTTTCACCCTCTATATCACTGCACTGATGTGCTTTCTTCTGTGCGTCCAATTGAATGACAACGTGTGTCTCGAGCAATTAATTGTAAGTCTAAATTGCGAAAGCTTTCCAATACAGTCGTTTTGCTAGCGAACTCCAGCCTTTACATAAGAAAGGCAGGTCTCAATGTGTGTCACCAGAAGAGACCATTATTATTTAATTCATTAATTTAATAATTTATTTATGTTATGTGATCGTGAACAGCCCAAGCCGCGGCAATAATGCACAGCTTTTGTATTAGGTACTAGTAAAGAACGATATAAACGCAATAAAACATGGGTCAACAATATCAAACTCTGCTACAGCACGGTTATTATAGGAGACTTGAATGCGAGATATGAGGCTAGTTTGGATACCTTGATTCTCATCAAACGTCACAGAGCTTCGAAAGCTGATCTCCAAACACGAATGTTATAAGATAACGTTAAATCCGGAAATACAATTATCCCTTAAAGACATTTACACACAAAAAAAACAACAAAAAAACTGCTGGGTTGCAGCGACGAGAGGACGAAGTCGTCCTCTCGGCGCTGCAACCCAGCTCAAATACTCGTGGACAAACTTCGTTTGCCAACGAGTATTTAATATTCGTAGTAAAATGCATAACAAACGTGACGTTCCTAAACTGCGAAATAAACGCTCCTGGCCCTTCACTTTTCTCTTTTTGTTCGGGCGGCCAATACTAATCCAGACAAAATAAAATTCCTGCCCTTTTCGTATTAGCCAAAAAGAGTACCGGAATACACAGGATGACGTAGTAAAATCGCGCCTTAATTCTAGCGATGATGCCCAGTTATGGAAAGGAGGCATCCATAATGCTATTAACATGTGAATTATTGTGCCATGTACATCACACGTGCGGGCCTAAAAGAACATTTTGAACGCCACCTTTAGTCTCCAGTTATCATAATTTTTTAATCATTTCCGAATCCATTCGGCAGAATGAAGCTGACGACGAAAGTCGCGTCAGCTTCATTCTGATCGCCCCCAATCGAAAAGACTCTTTCTTTTGGATTAGCTTCTAATAAAACTTGTCCGTCTCTTTGCGGGGAGACTCAATCACCTTCTACTTCGTTCACTTCGTCGCCATTACTCTCTACCGGCTCTGCTCTATTGATTTCTTTATTTGAGTCATTGCTATAAACGCAAAGTGAAAACGCCCAATCGGCGTTTTCACTTTAACTTCCTGATCATCGGAAACAGCATCTGCATGGAAGGCGGAAAAAAACACTTGAGTGCTCGTGCTGCGCACAGATAAACAGCATGTCACTCAAGAATAACGGCACGAACGTTTATGCCGGTGTCACGGTCCCGCCCTCCGGGCCGCTCGACGAATCAGCGAACATTGGACTTGAGTAATACCCTCGTCCCAGCAAACTTTACACTGGACGTCGGCCAAACTGGATGCATTAACTGCAAAGGTCAGGTGCCTTAGGACAGAGAAGCACCAATCTTCGCTCTGAGTCTCTCCAACTACGCAGAAACGTCGTAAAAAGGGTGCAGCTCCCGTCACCCCTGTCCCTCTCATCGCCTCTGTAAGCTTCCGTCGCATCACAGTCGCCCGCTACATCGACGTCCATACAGAACCCAGCGGCTGTGCCATCCTCGAGAGAATTTCCACGCGGCGAGGTTTCCCGTCCGAATCCTGGCGTGAACCCGGATTTGCCGTTTGCGAATCAAGCCAGTACTTCGCCTCAGAACACTAGATATGAGGCTCGCACACCGGTCAGACCTCGGCGAAGAAGCAAGCTGTCACCCACGAACAGCGCCAGATGGCGTTACCCACGCCGTCTGGCGCTGTTCGTGTCTCGGCTTCATCCTGAGACGAGTGTCGCCGATGTCCACACGCTAATCAAGCCCTTTTCGAAGGAAAAGTCGGGTTCCATTTTTTCCCGAAAGTGTGATGGAGTCTGATACGTACTATTTTTTTTACTTGTCAGGCGATGAATCACCATTTATTTAATCAACAATGCCGACGTGTGGCCAGAGGGCAACACCTTTCATCAGTTTTTGGGATTACATGACTGTGATATCGTGTTCCTTCTGTTTTATTTTATCATAGTGCGCGAGCGAACCAGTTCATATAAAATTTAATAACGCAATATCATCTGTTTGCCTGAAACGTGGCTAGGTAAGGGAATCCTAGACGCAAGTTATTTTAGTTCTAGACAGTGGTGTCCTAATTGCTGCTGAAGTTTTCCTTGTCGCGCACGGAACGTTCGACCTTGAATCCTATCCGGAATGTGCTTGGTTTCTCAGGTTCGACTATTCTATCGGGTACTGTTTTGTCGACGGACAAGAAAAAAACGCGAACAACGAGTCAATATAGCTTCACTGTAAAACCGGCTTGTTCTCTTGTGTGCGAAGTTTAGTATATATCGCTCCTTATCTAAACAACTTTTCAAACGTGATAAACGATTTCATTATGATGGTATAAAAAACGGTCTGAACCGCTGACCTACCATTTTTTTGCCAGTTTCGGAAGCAGCATGCGCGTGACGCTAGTAGAAGTATCTGCTTGCGCGATGAGTCAGACAACGCTCCCGCTTATCATTCATCACCTGCTGATGTTGCAAATATTTTCGCTGCTTAATTTAGCGAGTATTTCTCTGTTAGCCACCAGGTTTCTCAACCTGGGGACCGTATTACAAACTCTCACATCTTTTTGTCTTAGTAAAGATTAAGAACTGCACGAACAAGTCGAAGGAAAAGAGGGGACGTAGATAGACAGAGCGCTCCTAAGCTTGTCCTTCGTCTTGTTCACGCAGTTTTTAATGTGCCATATGTAAAACCAACTCGACCAAGTCTTCAACCTACTGCAATGTTTCTCTTTGCGTGTTAATTTTGGTAAAATCGTCGAAGTGATCTTGAAAACAGAAATCAAAGCTTTCGAGTGGTGCTGATGGTATGCCGAGTTTTGTTATCAAAGGATTCAACGACCTTTAAATTCCTACTTTGAAACGTATCTGTGAAATGTCTCCAAAGCGGGCACCTTCTTTATTTATTCATTTATTTATTTGTAGATACCTTCAAAGCTTAAGCAATATAGAGGGGAGCGGAAGAGCAAATAACAAGAAGAAAGCCTGGGTTAAAAATGGGGAAGCAATACAAAAGGAAATTTAAAAAAAAAATGGATACAAACGACTGAGGAGCTTCAAAAATATCTAGTCTGCTATGCAACACACACACATATATGCCACGAAAATATAAAAGTTATCTGACTTATACTAGTACTATACATGAAATCATTGAGCTTATTCTGCAAAGCAATTTGAGCCAAATCAATATTACTTATATTGGCTCTTAGAGACTGAAGGCGGGTTCACTCATTAGAGGTGTGTGGAGTGAAAGAATACAAAAAGGATTAGTTTTGCGTAAAA